CTGCGGCGGGAGGGGGCTGCACCCATGGGTGCTCTCCCTGCCAGGGTGAGCTCTGCCACTTGCCATGGGCCGGTTTGAGTGCGGCTCGGCTGGGCAAGGTGCAAAGGAGTGAGACTGGGTTGCTTCGTTCATTTGAATAGCAGAGGATGTGTCGTGACGTGGCGTGTCGTGACGTGGCGTGTCGTGATGTGACTGGGCTCCAGCCCGGAGGCCTTTTCTCACTTGCTCCCTTCCAGCTGCAACCAAACAATTCTGCAGGTGCCTGTTTAGTGCTCGTGACTCATGAAAAAGCTCATTAATAGCAGATTAATGACTCAGCTGCCCTTTTCTCCTCCCGGAGGGCAAGGAGACAGTGGCAATTCCAAGGTGCTACAGATTCATTTTCTGAGGGCCCAGTGCCATCCCTTTTCATGCCATCCATGGGACTGGAGCTGCAGGATGGTGGGACGCGGTGGGTGATGCCCAGCTGGTGAAGGAGGGATGGGGCAGGCCACTGCCTGGTCCTGCAAGCTGCCTGTCCTGTCCTGTCCTACTGATCCCTGCATGGGTCCCCAGCCAGGGCGGTTGTGCAGCCCCATCCATCTGCTCTGCTGGTCTTTGGGGACTGGGAAGGTGACGATGGCTTTGGGGATGGGGAAGGTGACGATGACTTTCCCAGGCGAGGGCGCCAGGGACATGGGAAAGGGGCCCGTGGCTCCACAGAGGACATCCCCCAGTGCCATCTGCAATTCCATCTTGTCCCCTCAGTATGGGGGTGCAGTGGGTGCCTCGCTGTCCCCGAGCCTCCCCATCTAGGCTGGAGGCAGCGTGGGGGGACGAAGGGACCCAGGCCACTCGGCTTGGTTACCAGTTCCCTCTCCCAAGGCACCAGTTGAGCACTTTGGCTCTTGTGAGTGGCTGCCATCCCGGATGGCACCTGGCTCTGACTGTCCCTGGCACACAGTGACATCTTGCCAGCGAGCTGAGTGTTAATCCCAGCATAAGCTCCGTCCGTCCAATACGTGTTTGTGTTGGAGCCGGGGAGGCTGATCCCTTCCTGGCACTCAAGCTACCTACCTGGGAGATGGAGGAGAGGGAGGAGATGGCTCCTGCATCCCTTCCCTGGTGCCCTCGGTCTCCCTTGGGTGGTTGCAGTGCCAAGGAGAGGGTGTTCCCTGGCTGCTGCCCTGTCACCTCTCCCCAGCAAGGTGGACAGGAAGGACCAGGAAGGACAAGGTCACCTTGAAGGATGGCACAACCCCTCTCTCTCATAGCGCTGCTGCCTGCCTGGTTCCTGCCCAGCTGCTCCATCGGCTCCCTGCTCCGGGCATGGAGTTGGCAGGGACCCCACCACCCAAATCCCATCCGTCCTCGGGAGAAAACAGGGACACTTGTGCCCTTTTCTTGGCTGGGGGGGAGGGGGGGGGCGGCCACCTCCCCCTCCC